CGATACTTGGCATGTCGGAATGGGTCCAGGCAAACACATCATTGTGTTCAATCAGGAGGGTTGTAAGATCGGCCTTGGCTTGAGGGGATAGTTGGCTACCGATCTTGGCTGTTTTTGTCGGGTTGGTGGGATCGATGAGGACCTCAACAAGCTCTTCCACTGGTTCCTCTCTAACTAGCTCGTCTTCGTCTCTGACGTCGAGTCCTTCAATGATCATAGCCTCCTTTAGCTTGACCTCTTTAAGTGAAGTGACATAACATTCTCTAGCCACGATCTGCTCTCCCCTCACCGTGTCGACCCTAAGGTCGGTGGGGAATTTGACGGCAAGATGGAAAGTGGATGTGACAGAGCGGTGCGACCGAGGATAATGTTGTAAGCAGAGGGACAGTCGACGACGAGGAAAGTGAGCAACTTTGTTGTCTGCCATGGGTATTCTCCGATTGTGATGGGAAGATCGATGGAGCTTATGGAGGTCACCCGATCTCCAGTAAAATCGACCAATAGGGTTTGGAAAAGGGACAGACTTTCTTCCCCGACCTTGAGCTGGCGAAAGGCATTTAGGAAGATGATGTCTGAAGAACTGCCGTTGTCAATGAGAACCCGTCTGACTTTGTAATTGGAGAGGAGGGCAAAGATGACAAGGGGGTCGTCATGGGGGTAACGGATGCCTGTGCAGTCGGCCTCTGTAAAGGTGATGGGCTTCATCCATTGCTTGGGCTGTTTGGAAGGACGGTCCAATGTGGCAACTCCTTTATCTGAGCCCTGCCTTATTTTTCTGAGTTATGCCCGCTGAGCCGAGCGGGATGGTCCTCCACAAGCAAGCCAGCCAGCAATAACTCTAATCTCTCCAACAGGGAGGACAGGGTTGCCTTGTGCCCAGGGTTGCTGTGGAGGCCTATCATGACCTTGGTTAGGTTGTGCGAGTTGTCGAGGAGGGATGCGCCGGTGGTTATTTCTGATAGGTTCAGTCTTTTGCCTTTGCTGAGGGCGGGCTGCCGTGAACCGACTGAGACATCCTTGACGTATCAAGCCCTCGACCTGGTCTTTAAGGTTAACACACTCCTCCGTATTATGGCCGTAGTCCTGATGAAAGTGGCAGTATTTGGACTAGTCTCGCCGGTTGGAAGGAGACCGTGACGGGTGGGGCCATTTTAGAAGATAATCTCGTTGGATCTGGTTTAGGACTTGTTCCTTGGAGGAATTGAGGGGTGTGTATCGTTCGAACCGGCCGGGCGGTCGGGTTGGCGCCGATCGGTTGGCTCAGGCTGGTCGGTCGGTATACTGAGGTGTTTGGTGAGTGTACTGGGTGATTCTCGTTTCGGAGCCCTTTCTTTTCTCTCTGGGGGTCAGGTTTTTGGCTATAGGATCTTGTTGGACGGCTAGGGAATCTTCGGCGTTCATGTATTTTTGGGCTTTGGAAAGTAGGGTTGCCATGGAGGTCAGGGGGTTTTTAGAGAGGGAAAAAAGGAAATCAAACGATCGTAGACCAGCCATGAAAGCCATGAGGATGACCTTGTCGTCGTTTTTTGCTACCTGTAGGGCTTCGGTGTTGAAGCGGGTGACGAAGCTGCGCAGCAACTCCCCCTCGGTCTGACGGATGTTGAGGAATTGGATTGCCGGACACCGCTAGCGTTGGGCACCAATGAAATGGCTGAGAAAGGAGTCACTTAGGTGCTGAAAAGTAGAGATAGAGTCTGTTGGCAGATGACTAAACCAGAGTCGAGCAGACCCCTTAAGTGTGACGGGGAAAGCCCGACACATGATCTCGTCAAGGAATGCATGGAGGACCATAAGGGTCCTGTAAGTTTCCAAATGGTCTACCGGGTCCGTTGTGCCGTCGAAAGAGTCGAGCGCGGGCATTTTGAACTTAGGAGGTAAGAGTTTGTCCCTGATGGAGGCAACGAACGGTGAGTTGGCTGTGGTAGATGGTTTATTCTGTATGTTCTGCATGACTCCTTGGAGTTGGAGCTTCATGGCTCGGAGTTCTGCATCCCAGAGAGGAACGTTGTCACCACCGGAATGTAGCGGAGGCTGGACACAACTGGCCTCTCCCTCGGGGGTGGGTGCCTGGGCCGATGGATGTGGGGCCCGGGGTAGCGGGTTCATATCTAGGGGAGGGAGTCACAAGCCTTCCAAGTTGAGTGGGTAGGGCTGTTGGATACGATGGCTCGGGGCTCGTTCTTGGTTGGGTGGGATACCTTGAGGTGGAGGAGGAGGGATGGGAAGGTCTCTTTGAAGCAAAGCATTGATCAGGGCTTGGTTTTGCTCTGCTAAGCGGTTGATGCTGTTGGTAAGTTCTGTGAAGTACTGCGGCGGGTTGTTTGGATTGAGAGGGTCGGCTTGGTGGTCGGCAACATTGTGGTAAGAAGCCATGGATCTAGTTGTGATCATCCACCTTGGTGGGTGGCAGGAAGAGGTGATTGGGAAGGGGTCTCTGGCGACAATGAGCACAACTGGCGAGCAGAGAAAAAGGTTTCCCACAGACGGCGCCAACTAATGATACAACGTGTTCCAGATGGAACGGGTCGGATTGATCCACGCTTCCCAAACCGGTGCCCGAGGTACCAAGCCCACAGAGAGACCTACACAAGAGTTCAACGGAGAACGGGGAGTCCCCCAGCGAACCCTCCGACGAGCAAGTTAGAAAGAGAGATGGAATGTAGAGATAGATTAGTGATAGAAAAGCTTAACCCTTTCCTTGTCTTTGATGCCTGCTTATATCATCTGCTAATCATTTTGTTGTCTCTTCCGACCTGTCACCTTGGCTGAAAGTCTATACTTTAGCTTTCCTTGTTCATGGTGAGGCCGTTCTGTCCTGACGGGAAAGGGTTATCGCAATAAATGCTGCAGAAAAACTCATTAATGGCTGATGTATAGTGTAATAACTTTGCAGGATCTTTGTCTGCTGATGTGGGTGATTCTCTACTTGCCAAGTGTTTAGATATCATTGGTGTTTGGTGTAACGCTGGGTTTCACGAGTGTTGGACTTTAGTATTTGAATCATGATTTGGACCTTAGGTGGTGGGCCATATCCTTTATGGGCTTAACCATGTTAGTATCCATAAATCCTATATCACATCTCTCATGCCCTTCATTAAAATATAACAGTGGGTATAATCATTGACGTACATGAATAACATTGGAGTTTGTGGAGATAATAATGTTTTCTACGGAACAAAATTGCTACAAATGATTGATTATCAGGTAAAACAATTCTACAATTCAAATTTTTTTTTTAAAATTCCATAGATTAATTATAATTCTTCCCCATTCAAGAAATTCTCCTTACGATGAAATGTGTCAAATAATTGTGTTATTAGAAGTTGTCTTTATGGATTAGTACACTGTAACTCCTTTCAGATATACAAATAAAAGAATAGTACATTTTCCATTGGAGGAAAATACTAAACTAACATTGAAAAATCAAAAATTCCGGAGATATTGATTTGTGATTATGTATCAATTTTAAATAATAAATAACAATTCCAAACAAACAATCAAAAACTAAACAACACAATGATTTAACATGGAAAAACTACAATTGGAGCGCCTCCAATTGTGATAAAAAAAATTACGGGCCAAAGTCACAAAACAATCCGTTAAAAAGACAAAAAAGAATTACACAAGTGTACTCTCAATTACCCAGCGAATCCATGCCCGAATTGAATCGACCCTAATGTGTCTCTTCTAACACCGTCTTCACCTTGGAATTGTCTTATCCAACGTTGAATCCACAACGCCGATGTCGATTCACGACAATAAGCCACTCTAGAATCCATCAAAGTTTCAGGCCCAAATTCTCCGGAATTCACTGAAAAACAACTCTCTCTTTTGTGAATAATACAATTATCAAGAAAATTTTAGAATAATATTTTCAAGTCTGGATGAAAATATTGATTTTCATCTTAGAATAATATTTGTAAGTTTCAAAGATTTTTTTTTTTGGTTGTATACTTATATTCATAATCTCGGGACCTTGTAAAACAATGACCACAACTTGCTCGCAATTTCATTTCTTTAATTATTATTATTTTTTTAAAATTTTATTGCAAATTTGAGATAAATTTAATAATAACAGACCATGAGCCTAATAACTTAAAATTTTTACTTTAATGCCTAAAGTTACCTAATATTGTCACTTTAATTATGTGAAATAAATATAAAATTTATTTAAAAAGTGGATGTACACGTATTATAATAAAATATTTTTTAAAAAAATCAATAAGTATTTCTTTTAATAAAATTTTATTTTTGCATTACAATGCCTACTATTTTGTCCTTTAATGCTATTTTAGTCAAAAAAGTTTAAAAAAAACTTTATTCCCAAACATGGCCCCGTTTGATGTAGCTATTAAAACAGTTTATAGATTATATCTTAACAGATTATAGATTATGACTTTAATCAGAAGTTGTTAATCTGTTTGGTGTAGCTGTTGGATTATAGATTTAAGTTGCTGAGTAGTGTTTGTTAAATAGCTGTGAAATAGCTTTTCCAATTAATTTTTATTTTTTGTTTGTCTACATTTCTCATAAAAAATAAGAATAATAATAATTTATAGTCCATTTGAGTCTTTTTCTATTTTTAAAAAAATAAAAAATAAAAAAAGTTAAGAGTATAACTATAAATTAACATGTCTATAGCAGAAGCTGATAATTAGAAGCAAGGAGTGAGCAGCTTTTCAGAATTAGCTTTTTTGAGTTAAAATAAGCTGTTAGAATCAGAAGCTGTTTGAAATAAGTTTAATCAAACAGTCCAAAATAACTTTTTCAAAGCTAAAAGCTATAAGTTGGTTCTGAAAAGCTGAAACAAACACCCCCAAGCTCTACTAAACAGGCCTTTAGTTGAAGTTGATGAAATAATAGATTATTTTAGTTAATTTTTTTAAATATTTTAATTTATTTTATTTTTTTATAAATAAATTATATGATAATTGATGTCATCCAAAATAAATAAAAAATAAAAAATTAATTTTTTATCAACTTCCTAAAAGATTCCAACGTGAGACAAAAGTAAATGTTGTTATATAATTAAATAAAAGTTTGGCTCGACATACAATGCCAGAGCAGATTGTACAAGTGCTATTGATGCGTGAAATATAAAATTTCACAACGCGCAAAACTTGGGTCCATGCTATCGATGGATGAATTTTCTGCAAAAAAAAAATTCTATTTGTAGATCATTTTCCTCTGACGTTGTCGATGGAAGATCTTTTTTGATCTGCATAAATGTTTCAACTTGGTTGTGCAACGTTCTAACTCACTTGCAAGGCGGTGGGTTTTGTTTACCGGAGAACGTTGCTATAGCATGCTCACATGCAGATGAAAAAATAAAATTTTGTATAGTGCTTCCGCCTGTGTAACTTAAATCAATGTCGACCAATTCGATGCCTTCACAAGGGACAACATCACTGCAACTAAGAGCGACTGCATTAGTTGAGATCGTGGTACCCCTTATGTTCTTGAAGTGAACATCTCTGATCTTCACAAGAGATGACTGGTCAAAAAAAAGTTTAGAAAATTATTTAGTAACCGAGTTGAGTCAAGATTAAGAATGTGTACTTAGAATTAATAATGTTTTTACCCCTGGCTTCTTCTTAGAACCGTAATGTTGATCTATGAAGATGGGATTTCTAACTTCGTTCATGACTAGATCTTCGAAAACAATGTTGGAGGCTTGAATGCGAGGCGATTGGTGCCATGATTTGATCCTCGCACCATTCGTCGTGTTTGTTAGGGTACAATTTTTTACAACAATTCCACTCACATCATGTTCATCCGGGCGAAGGCCTAGGCTGCCAATGCTGCCGGCACAACACAAAAAAAAAATAAAAAAAAAATATATATATATATATATATATATAAACTCACATTGAATTAATGCAAGAATGTGTAAAAAAAAAATATTCAATTGTACGAGTTTTAAAAATGAAAATAAATAAAATTAAATCCAATTATATAATTTTTTTCTTACTGTGCACTTTTTCTAAAAAATTACGCGCAGGTAAAATTAGTTAGTAATATTTACCTAATTCCATGTCCGGGACCACAGGTAATACCAGAGACAGAAACATTAGTAGCACCTTCACCAATAGAGATGCAGTCATCACCAGTGCCAATAGTACAACCCAATATAGTGACTTGATTAGATCGGCTTATATGAATCCCATCGGTGTTTGGGCTATCTGCAGGTGCGGTTATCGTAATGTTTTGAACTGTAAAATTGCTGCTGTCACAAATTTTCAAGTTGAATCCTTTGCTATTAACCAAACTGATCCCTTGGACAATAGAATTGCTCACGTCTGAAAATACAATTGTCTGCATCATCCAAACAACTCAACAAATTGTGAGAATTGTTCACTTCTCTCGTATATTGGGCTACAATGAATTTTCATTTTCATTTGTTGAGAATATCACGCAAATAATATGACATGAAGCGGGCTAGAATTGATGGGTACTTACTGCGGGGAGACGTGAGTCGCATTTGGTCTTGCCCCCGCAAGAATCAAACTTCCAGACGGCCTCGCCTTGGCCGTGCAAAGTTCCTTGACCTTGAATAATTAAACTGTCCACATGACGAACAGAGATCCATTGATTGTCTGGGAACTCACTGAGATCGGATTGTGCCAATACGGTGCCCTCAACTTCTACAATTATGGGAGTTTGGCAAGTGCACGGTCCATAGAAGAACACTTCACTGGTCATGAATGTCCCCGGCGGGATTACTAGTTTCGCTGCACCGGTTGATTTGCACGCTGCATTCCATGCTTGTATAAACGCCTGCAACCAAACAAATTCATTTTCTAGTGTTTTAGTTGGATATCAGTAGCGATATAATTGGATGAATTACATTTTTTTGAAAAAAAGAAAAAATAAATGGTAAGTAAGATTTAGAGTATAGATTGTTTATTTTATTTTTTTAAGACAAATGCAAATCAATCCTTTAACTAATGATACTCAATCAATTTAATTTTTACATGGATGATTTACTTTTTGGGAGGGAAAAAAAATTCTACTTAAATTATCGAGATGGGTTTAGAGTGGGTATACACCCTCTCAATTGGATCCTCTAGTTCAAAGAAGTGGGTTATGAAAAAAGGCTTTATAATGTTACAACTTTATTTATTTATTTATTAATGTACTAACACTACATTTATTCTGGAGTGTGAGTTCCATCCAATGTACATGCCATGCAACCGTCCAATTTGGTTAAGAAACTTTTGTCTTCAAATTCTCTTTCTAATTTCAAAACATTTAATCATGCAAAATTTTCAAAACATAATCTAATCACGGTTGGTGTTTTGACACAGAGAACAAATGCCGCATTGAGCAAAATTGCATTTTGAAAACTTCCTTGAAAAAAATTTAGAGGGTTAGTAGCAGGTAAGCGAGAAGAGAGATGAGGGGTGGAAGATGGAGGTAATCAAAAAAACTAACCATTGAATTATCAGTCTGGCCATTATCTGGCTTGGCACCATACGTTGTAACATCAAAAACTGTAGCACCATTGTCAACAAGGCCACGTCGGGCAGCTTGGGCCCCACAAGATATCAAAGCTAGACCCACCAAGAACAATAGGGTCTTGGCTTCGAATCCTCTTAAGGGGGCCATTGTGGCCTTGGAACTCCTGAAACTACAGTTTTTGTTTCTGATTAAATTAAAAATCAAAAATAAAAATGCCAGAGACTTGATGTGATGATGATTTTACCATTTCACAAAGGTATTTATACACAAGGATTGTTTTGTGTTATGGTTTTCATGGCCACTAAATCCACCTCTGGTAGAGAAGTCGCAGGAGGGCGAAAACAATGCAAAATCTATTTTGCTTTGATTGGCTCCCCATGTTTGGGGAAGTGGCTTTTTCTATTTATTATGATAAGAATTATATATACCAAGTAACCAAGCCAAATACAAGTCCTTCCTTTTATCGCTATTCAATCTATATATAGCACCATAATCTCTCTCTCTCTCTCTCTCTCTCTCTCCACATTTAGGATTTTCATCTTTGATTGCTTCATGATACTCAATAGAATTGTAGGGCTGGCTCAATTATTAAACAACTTACCATGTCAGAAAAATCAAATACATTATTATTGTTGAAGGCTCTTAATTTTTTGAAGATCCAATAAAAAAAGGTCTCGTTTTAATATTTAACATAAAATTTCAAAAAATCTTGGACCACTATTGAGCACGAGTGGCTATTAATCTATTATTATGCAATAACAAGTTTGTGGTTGTCTTAAAAAAATTTAGTGTAGTATTGCTCATTTTTATTTAGGGTAAAATATATTGATCATCCACTACAATATTTTTTTAATTTAGTAGCATTTAAAAGTGCCATAAAACTATTCTTCTAGTGATATTTTTTAGTTTTGTGATAAAACAAGTGTCATTTATACACGTGCTACAGTCGATATTAGTGGCACCTCAATGACACTTGCAAGTGCTACTACACCATTATGGCTAAAGACTTTTAATGACATTTTGATATCATGATAGACACTATTTGTGATAGTATCAAGCGCCATTAAAAGAAAATTTAGTGGCACTTCAGTGACACTTGTAAGTGTCATTACACCATCATGGCCAAAAACTTTCAATGACACTTTAATGTCATGGTAAACACTATTCGTGACGCTATCAAGTGCCATTAAAGAAGATTTACAACTTAAAAAATGCCACTATATGAATTTTTAATGGCGCTTATTATGTCACAATTGATATTTTTAATAACTTCATAAATGCCACTAAATTCAATTCATTTGTGCCATTAAATGGATATAAGTGTTATTGAAGCTTATTCTAGTGACACTTTACAAAGCTACTACCACTACTATGAAATGTCACTTATATGTTCTTTTCATTAACACTTTTAAAGTCGCAACTAAGCATGCGTAAATGTCTGTAAAAATTGAATCGATTTTATAAAAAATTGAATATTAATTGCCACATCCTATATTAATTTAACATTCATTCACCCTGTAATATTTTCATAATAATAAACAAATATTTTACCACCATAGAATCATCACATCAAAAACAAAAAAATTCAAACCACAATCATTTTTTTTATCTAAAAATATAAATTTATTAATATTGCAATACAAATCATAATCAAAATTCTAAAATATTCTACTACACTAACAAAGTTAAAGCAAAAAAAAAAATTAAAAGAAAATTATTCCAACCATAAGTTCTGAAAAGCCACAGTGATATCCATCTTCTGAAGAGACAAATTATCAAAACAAATTCAGTTCTCAAATTTTCAACCTCACTTGTATAAATATTCTTGGCTAGCATCCATAACTTGTGAAATTTGCATCTACAAGATAAGCATATAAAGATAATTGAAACTATATTAAGTTAATATAAATTTGTTAATGAAATTAGTATTTACGAAAGAAATATACTACAATTGGAGTAGGTCAAGCAACATAAGCTCCAATAGCTTGTCCAATTATTTTGACAAATCCATATGATTGAATCAAGCTCTTATTAGGTTTGACTGACACTTGAACATGTACTTCTCAATAGTCAAGTTCTAGTTCTTCCCCTTTCTACTGCTTTAGATGGGTCTGTACTTTTAAGTACTCCAATTTCAACTGTTTCTGTTGGTCTAATGATACTTTTTAGAACAACTATATCTCCCACCTGTAAATCAAGATTTAACTACTTAAGTAATTATATATTTACAATTAATAAATAATATTTAAAAAATAAACTAGTACAAAATGTCAGAGTGATGATGATCACAACTGAAAGTCATATGCATTTCTCTAGTAAATAAGCAAGCCACATGATTTAATCACTTAATTGGAACTTTTAGGGATACAATGTTTACGAATGCAAAAATAAATAAAATAATAAAAATAATATAGATGAGGCTTTAGAATCTTTCTTGAAGTGATGGTAAATACACTTAAAAAGTATAATATTTATGATTTTTAAAAAAAATAATACTAAATATAAAAAAATTCTAAAATTTAGTACATTTTTCATATTTTTGTATTTATTAATTTTTTAAAATATTTTTCACAAATATTTTACAATTTATATACATCTAAGTAAGGTACATCTTAAAAAAAAAAAAAATGCTTAAAATCTTAAAAATATTCACTAAAAATAAAAATAAAAAAACGAAAAATAAAAAATTAATTTTCAAAAAATTAAATTTATAAAATTGAAATCAAACACACTGATTATGTACTCATCCAAAAATAAAAGATTTTACAATTACTTTTGAATAAAAACGAAAACAATGTGAGCAACCATTAGTAACCTAGAGGACAAATGGTGTGAGAATTTCCAACTCACCTTATAATTTTTAACATTGCTACGTACTCACGAAAATTATCTAAAAAAATATTTAAAAGGTACACAAAAATTATCTAGAATCTTTTTTTAAAGGTACACATATGTATCATATTTATTTCAATTGTAACTCATGTTACACAAATTTTGAATTTGCGATATACACTTTGTACGGGGAAGAAATAATTCTCCTCGTATAATCCTGTTGACCAAGTCCACGCTCCTCCGTACGACGTCGCTTTGTCACCTGAAAACACAAACGTGAGCTAGCCGGCGGGTATGTACCGGAAACCTCTCCGATGCCTAAATTAGAAAACTTGACAAATAGACAAAGCTCTATGTTCTCAGAAAAATTGTGTTCTGTTACCTCCTCCAAGGTGATGTTTGTGAGCTTTTATAAGTTTCCAGTGGCACAATCCTAGTAAGACTTTTATTCCCCCATGCAGAGTCCTCCTAGGATTCATACTCCTAAGGATAATGCTTATCCTTTTACACCCTCCCCCACTGCTTAAACCAAGTGGGATGATTTTTACTTTAGCCGAACTACTATATGACCGAAATAAGCTTGGCTATGTAGAGCCACTGAGTAAACCGAATTCATCCTTAGTTCGGTTCTTGTTTTTTCCTTTCTTATCTCAGCTTTCCATGTAGAACCCATGGTACGGTTTTAGACCGAACCAACGACTTTCGGCTGGTCTAGCCCCAATACCGGTATAACTCCAAAGATACTTCGGACCGAAGTATCTTTTACAGTCACTGTGCCGAAGTAACTTTGTCTTTCTTAGGCCGAAGTAGCCTTGCCTCTCCTGGGCCGGAGTAACATTGCGGCCTTTCCTGGGTCGGAGTAACATTGCGGCCTTTCCACCAAGTCTTTGGCACTTTGGGGCACAAAGCCCATCTCATAGCTCGGCCCAATTTTTACCAAAAATTACCCTCTCAATTGCCCCTTAATTCCATCTGCACAGCATGATTGAGATTACCAGTCCAACCGAGCTAAAGTTATTAAGCCTTTCCAGCCGAGCTAAAAACCCTTTAGCCTCTCCAGCCGAGCCAAAAACTCTTGGGCCTTTGAGCCGAGCTACTTTTACTTCGGGCTTCACTTTGTCCGGTCAAAACGACTCTTCAGCCACGACTGTAACGCTTCCCTTTCCGTATACACGTGGCTCGTTCCCATTCGTAGAAGGCAGCTGTCAACGCCGTCTTCGTGTTTCGCGATTTTTGAACAGTTCCCGCTCTCTCTGTCTCTTTCCACAAAACAATCATCCTGCCTTTTGAACCTTTCACTTTTACTATTTCTTATCTTCTCTCTCTGTGCTCTCGCTGTTCCTTCCGTTGCTTCTGAAGACTGTTTTTGCTGCCACTTTTCCATCTCCAGTCTCCTTTTCTTCAATCTGGTAAGTAAACTCATTTTGTTTCTTTTGTTTTTGCTTCCATATCTGTTCTACGCATTTGGTTTACTATATTTTTGCAAAACATGCTCTTCCATTTCTGCTTTGCTTCTGTATTTTTATGAAAAAACCAGTAGAACTTCATGTGTGTATGAACTATTATGTAGAAAATTAGTCTTAGATCCAAAATCACATAGCAACCGAACTAGGAAACTGTTTGTCCAATATTGGTAGATCACTTTAGACAATAACCGAACTAGAACTTGTAGAAGTCTTAACAAATCACCCACTCCTGATTCACTGTAGCCGAAATAAAATTACCGAACAAAGTTTGAACAAACCAGGCTAGGAACCGCGATTTTCAACCGAGCTAAGCCTTTGGGGCTAAGCCAGCTTTCTTAGTTTCTAAACCAAACACAGAAAGCTGCCCCTAGTGGCTTAACCGAAGCAAAAAACCCACTGTTCAAACCGAGATAACAAATCCTTAAAGGAAAACCGATCTTGCGCACAATAGGTTCAAACCGAACTATCGAGTATTGTGGAGAACCGAAACAGAACCAGCCCACACAGCCGAAATAGGGCTCATTTACCTTACTTTTAATTTGTAGCACAGTCCAATGATCTGTGCTTAACCCCTCTGTTTTCTACTTTGCAGACTTAGGTTACCCAGGCACTCCTGCGTACACTCAACCGAGCTACTGGGCACAATTTTTGCACCGATATAACTTATTTGTAAATTATACAAATGGGTAAGTATAGGTACTTGGTAGAGACCCCTGGTGGTATGGCCGAATTCTGAAGGGATTATGGTATTCCAGACGATGTACACCTTGATGTACACCTTACCCTAGCCAAGAAGGAAACCATTCCGTGGAATAACCAAGGCTTCGTCCCCTTTACTATTTTATCCATTATAGAAACCGGACTAAGGTTCCCGGTCCAGCCTTTAATTTGTGAATTTCTTAGGCAAACCAGACTGTGCCCAACCCAGCTATCCACCAATACATACC